TTAGGTGACTACTTCTCAATTACACACTGAAATGGATTTTGAAGTATGGAAATCCAGGTTCACAAACACCGTTAGGGCTTTAGTTTGAGCTTAGAAATTATGTCCACTGCAAGTGTATGTGAGAATGCAGAGCTCATTTTTTAAAATTTTAACAGCATGGAAAGTACTTAAAGCAATTCAATGTGACTTGTGATTCAAACAACATTAGTTGTCGTTGAAACGACTTTAACACAGTAGAAGTTTTGCACATAAGTGCTGTTTTGCCTTCTAATTTTAGGTTGAATTTATTAGGCTGCGTTATCAAGTCTGTCACAAAAGCTACTTTCCAAAGCCCTCCAGAATTGAGTAATAGTGGTCGAGGGCAGTTCTTGTTCAGAAAAGTTTAAATCTCAGCCCTGAGCTCAAAATAATGCAAGAAAACTTTACTAAGCCATCAAACTGCTGTGTGGTAGGACAAATCAGGATAGTCAGCAAAGTTGCAGAACTGATAATAGTTAAGTCCGTGAGAGGGATTGTCACATTCACTGTTGACACTATTGGCTCAAATCACACACGATGAATTTTCTGGAAAAGACCTTCTGATGCAAGAAATAGCTTTTAACACCTTACATTTCCACAAGCCTTGTAAATTTGTAATTTTTGGTTTTTCTGTTCCATCCATTTTCAATTGTAACATCTTAGTAGTTTCCACTTTGGATTCTACTAAATTAGTGTTTTCTCAACTTCTTTGAAAACATTCTCACCCGTAGTTGTTCCACACAGACTACTGAGAGAGCCTAATTTCTTCAGTCACTTCAGCCTTACACTGACTCCTTAAATAAACAACAACCAAAATGCCTAGACTCACCAAGACCCAAAGAGGACTGCTTTGCAAGGCAAAATTTGCCTTGTTTCTTACTTGACTGTCGATATTGCTCCCTGTTCCTTTAACTCCTCAAGCAGCTGTTATCACGGAGAGGCTAATCATCTTAAGTTCATATTCTCTGGACATACCTCTTTGGCTGCTGCAGTTAATTAACTCACTCTTGATATACAGCTTTCCTTGCTTCACTAACAAACGAGCGACTGGATAACTAACTTCGGTTGCAGCCTCATTTTCATTTCTTTTGTGAAGGAATTCTGCTGAGCTTCTGTTTTAAATTTTCTAATTTTTCTTGCCTTCACTTTTCTGTGAGTTGGGAATATTGTGATGGGCGCTGAGTCTCATAATAGCAACCTCTGTCTTCTATCGACATAGCTCTAGCGTCATTGCATACTAAAGAATACTTTGCCGTTTGATTCAGTAACAAAATAACCCATATTCCACTGTGGCTTCAAAGCGCACTTCTCTTGTTTTAACATGATGGGTATGCACTGACAATACAATTAAGTAAGATGTGTGATACAGTGATGCACGTGGCACTCAAAACTCTGTCGAGTTAGAACTGTGTCGCTGACCTGCAGCCTGCTGAGCAGCAGTGCAGTCACCGGATTGCCCCGCACGGGCTCCGTTGCAGCGACCCTGCTGTCATAGCGTGAGAGCAGCCACAGACAACACGCGAAGAAATGGCCATGGCTCTGTTCCAATAAGACTTTATTTATGGACACTGAAATTTGAATTTCATATTATTTTCATGTGTCATAAAGTATATCATTTTGATTTTTTCCAAACGTTTAAAAATATAAAAACCATTCTTAGCTCACATAAAAACAGGTGGTAAACTGGATTTGGCCCATGAGCCATAGTTTGCCAACAGGCCATCTAGATTCAAATTGCCGTCCCAGACCCAGAACATTAGTGCCGATGAGGAAAAGGAATGTGAAGACAGTGAGGGGCCGGGCGCGGTGGCTCACACCTGTAATCCTACCACTCTGGGAGGCCGAGGCGGGAGGATTGCCTGAGCTCAGGAGTTGGAGACCCTGTCTCTACTAAAAATAGAAAAAATTAGCTGGGTGTGGTGTGTGCGTGTAGTCCCAGCTATTTGGGAGGCTGAAGCAGGAGGATCACTTGAGCCCAGGGGTTTGAGGTTGCTGTGAGCTAAGTTGATGCCACTGCACTCTAGCCTGGGCGACAGAGCAACACTGTCTCAAAAAAAAAGACAAAGTGAAAGAGGTTTGGGTTTCACCTTTACAAGATGCCGACTAATATTTACCAGTTCAGAATTCAGCCCAGAAGTTGGAACTGAATCAGGGGACATAGATCAAAAGTGTGAGGTACATGTTCTCAGATTCTGGAGGGAAAGTCTACCACATACACTGAATGTTTCCTCAGAGTACTTTGACACTTCATTTGTCTATTATTTAAAATCTGCGACATGCAGTGCAGAAGGCTTTCTTAGACCACCTTGTTGTAGTGGCGATTCTGTGTATTTCAAGCTTCCTAATTTTTTCCTTCCTCTCTTTGACTTTGCCTTCCTATTATCGTGCATTGAATTTGGGATGGATTTTGTTCAAGTGAACAGCCCCAACCTCTTAAGAACTGAGTACTGTATATTTTAACAGACATCTTTCCAAACCAAATCCAGGCCTTGCATCCCCCACAATTCTTATTTCCTGTTCTTTTTTCTGTGTTTCTTCAAAGTGAGAACTCTGACACTTTCTCAGCTCTGTCCTGTAGTTTGCCTACTGGAAAATTCCTTGGGACTATAACTCCCAGGGAAGTCTTTTCTCAGCTTTCTCACACTGACGTCCCTTTCGCCCTAAGCTGACTTCAGAAGTGAGGCTGCTTACTCTTGGCATTTCTCAGGTCTGTACTCTTGGACTTAGAGGGCAAACCCTTCTGTCCTCTGCCCTTAATTCTGTTTCTTCTGGGTCCAACTCAAGGCCTCTGTCCTGGTTGAGATACCAGGGGTGGGAGAGGGGAACACCAGTGCCTAAACACCACAGGTCCCTTCTTGGTCTATTTTTAAGGTGCTGACACTGGACCAAGAGACACGTACTTGTTTCTGTGAAGACCAAGTTCCAGCTGTTCCACAGGAACATTTGGAGTGCGCCTGCGTCCCAAATGTCAGCTCACTCTTCCAACTATCTGTCCTGGTCTGAATCATGTTTCCAAGATTCGGAGAAAAACGGCTGGGGTTCCTCGTGCTTTTTCGGGTGCTTGCCAACATTACAGCTGCCCGGCGAATAACTACCTCACTGATGACACAGCAGCCGAATGGATGCTTAGTGTCAACAAGTGCTTTGCTCTACACCTGTACGAAGTCATCTTTGGGGACCTGGCCTGAACACAGTGAGAACCTTGAAGACTGCTTTTGACTGAATGTTTTCCAAGGAGTTGAGTGATGCTGTTGATGAGAGAATACATTGAGGATATATAGCCAACATTGTATTACTATTATCATGCTGTTATTATTACTGTTACATTAATAACTAATGACTAATTATGGTTTGACCATGGAGTAGATGGCCAGAATGAAAACCAATAATAAGCTTTTAAATTTTTCCTGTGGTATTGAACTATAATTTACAAATAATAAAATTCACTCATTTTAAGTCTATAGTTTGATGAATTTTGGTGATTACATACAGTTGTATAATCATCGCCAAACTCAAGATACGGAGCAGTTGTATTCCTCTAAAAAATTTCTCTGTGGCTTTGTGGCCAGTTCCCTCTCCTGACTCTACTTTTGCTTTTTCTGGATTTCATAAGTCTAAGTTCAGTTTGGTTTTTTGGTTTTTTGGTTTTGTTTTTTTTGTTTGTTTGTTTGTTCTTTGGAGATAAGGTCTCACTCTGTTGCCTGGGCCGGAGTGCAGTGGTATCATCATAGCTCACTGCAACCTCAAACTCCTGTGCTCAAGGGATCCTCTTGCCTCAGCCTCCTGATTGGCTGGGACTATAGGCATGTACCACTGTGCCCAGCTAATTTTCTTAAATTTTTTGTAGAGATGGAATCTTGCTATGTTGGTCAGGCTGGTCTCAAACTCCTGGCCTTAAGCAATCCTCTCACCTCAACTTCCCAAAGTGCTAGGATTACAGGTGTGAGCCACCATGCCTGGCCTTCAACTTTACAAACAAAATATAGAAAGTAATATTCCCCTAAAAGGTTCCTTCATGCCTCTTTGCAGTTAATCCCCTCCTCTGAGTCTGGTTTTGCCTTTTCTAGATTTCTTGAGTCTGAATTCAATTTCTTTCACTGATACAGTGCTACTCAAGTTGTCTGTTTCTTCTTGGGTCAGTTTTGTTCATCTGTATCTTTCAAGGACTTTGCCTATTTCATCAGGTTGTCAAATTTATTGGCATAAAGTTATTCATAATGATTCCTCTTAAGGTTGCAGAATTTATAGTCTCTTTCAATGTATTCCATGTCGATATTAAAAAATTCAAACACAAAATAAAATTTTGCATTCTTTTTTCTCTATAAGTTTCTAATTTCTTGTCCTTTTCTTTCTTTAGACCTTTAGTAGGTTACATCTAAACCAGTGTGGTATAAGAAAAGAACATGGTCTTTGTAGTACCCAGATTTACATTTAAACTCAACCACTCATTAGCCCTATGAGCTTGAGTAGCTTACTTAACCACTCAGATGGAGTCTTAATTTCATCCTGCGTCTAATGTGGGTGACAGTGCCTCCTGCCCAGGCATCTTGGAGGCCTTGCAGGCCACGGGTGCTCAGTGAGTGGGAGCCGTTGCAGTGGTGACGGAGGGTGCGACGGTGTGCTCCAAGTCCTAGTGCTCAGACTAGGACAAGTTCCTGGTTTTAGGATAGTAGAAGCTGTGAGAGCCTCTTGTAGCCTCCAGTTTCCTGTAGCTCAGTGTACTACTGTTTCATATTCTGTGTAAATAGAATCTTGACTTTGTGCGCTGTGGCGTTTATTATTGAAACATGGTTAATTCTTTATCTAGAAATCTTCTTTCAGCATAGATATAGTAAATCAGTGCGAATGTTACTGAGGATGACATTTGTATAAGAAAGCAAGACTAAGAACCCAAGACATTTAAAATAGAATTACAGAAATGAATAGAATTACAGAAGTCTTTTTTTTTTTTTGAAATTTGTTTCTGTTTCTTGTTTCCTAAGGTCGTTGATTTTCCCATTTCTGATTCGAGGAGGAAAACCAACACCGCTGTATTCGTGTGTGATAGCATTTTTTTTCTGCGCCTATAATGGCTACTTGCAAAGCAGATACTTGAGCCAATATGCAGTGTATGCCGATGACTGGGTGACAGACCCCCGTTTTCTAATAGGTGAGTGTCCACAGCTACAAACCCCACCACATTCAAATCATCGCTTTTGTTTTCACGTCCCTGTAGTTTCCAGGTAGAAAGCTCAAACTTCTTGAGAAAACAGAGTCTGTGATGATCTATAAGCTCTCCAGAGGAGAGAGCAGCAGGAGGGCTGGAGCCAGCCAGAGGGACAGTCAGGCTGTCCCCGCCCCACGGGGGGCAGGGAGGTGATGCAGGTGCAGGACACCTTCGCCCACTCTGGCCTGAAGCGCAGATGCCTGTTCAGACTGAAAACCTAAAAATAGCAACAAGCTCCAGGAGAAGGAACAGCGACTCTTAATAAGACCAAGGAGACTTGGGCCTCACTGACCGCGTAATCTAAGGCTGGCCCTGAACCTCCTGCAGTTTCTTCTGTGACAGAAAAAGCCAGACTGAGTTATCTTCCAACAATGCAATTAGATTTCTATGGTTATATGAACTTGAATAAACTTTTAGTTTTATGAAGATTTTGAATTTTTTTACTTCTATCAATTAATGTGAATTAATGTACATTTTCTTTCTTTTTTTTTATTTCAGCATATTATGGGGGTACAGATGTTTAGGTTGTGTATGTTGCCCTTGCCCCCCCTGCCCCGCCCAAGTC